GTGATAGACAGCCAGTAACATGCCATTCACAAACAGACAGCCTAGCATTCAACACTGGTGAGACACACTGACTATATACCAGCTGCGAGAATGAATCATAGGCATTCAAATACTTAGTAATTAAACTGCTATTTACAGACCAAGAACTGTATCAAATGCTTTGACAAACCTCTTCGCTTCTTTCCTTTTCAGTATTCTATACCTCATAAGTCTCACATTGTCGTATGTTGCAATTGTTTTCTGTACACATGTAACTTGCTGTTATTTATGCATCTTGTAGGATAGATTTATCAGATTTTGTTAGTTGTGTTCAGACACAAACAGCTGTTAGGCTTTGATAAATACAGTACTTTGTGTTAAGTGTAATACTTTGTTCCAAAGTTACATGTGAAGATGTACAGCTAATACGGACGAGCAGAGCACATTAGCCTCCACTCTTGTGACTAAAATTCTGTTTTTCTACCACTTAGGTACATTACCGTGCATCGTGCTTTAGCTCTGTCCCATTTTAAGAAACAAGCACTTATGACAAAATTATTGCTGCAAGCCTCTCCACTATGTAGAACACTTATGGGCAAGTCACAAGTAAAAAGACCTTAAACCTGACTGAATACATTTTCTTTCATTCCCATCAGCAAAGCAGTGAATTTTTTTTCTCCACATTTCTCTCTTCTAGAGCATTTTAAATGCACAGAAAATACCCCACACTAGTGAATGCAGTCATCTTGAAGAAATAGGCCATTCATCACTATAGCAGTACTTGTATTTACAATATCTTTATTACAAACATAGGGAAACACCTTATTTCTCTAGAATATGAAGAGGGTAAGTAACTTGTGTAAAATATTAAAAGTTCATACATATCTTTAATTCTCCTCGAGAGTGAAACAGCCTGTTTCATGAGCTGCATTCACAGCACCATCTGATCTTCAGTCTTCAAAACGAAGGAAGTTTGATTGCCCTTAGCAATTTAACCGCAGATAAATGCACATTTCTTTTAAAATCCACCTCCCCTAGATGTATCTGAAGCCTTACAAGTGCCACACATTCTTAAACAAGAATATAGCATTTTCTACTTTCATAGCACCTGAACAGCCTCTACCCAGTGGCCTGTACCTACTTCCTATAATCTCTCCGACACATTTCTTTCCTAAATATCCAGGGAAACAAATGAAGCTGCACTTCATTTTTATTGTCAGAGTATCTTTAACTCTGACTCTACAGTTCAAACCATAAGAAAGAATTTCAGACAGATAATTCCTCCAGATATTGCATGGGTATTTGGAGACCCCTTGTGGGACCCAGCTGTTAAGTCGAGTGGCATAACACAACATTTTAGAAACATTTATTTAAAACTCAAGTGTTTTTTTAAAATGACGGCAAAATGTATACATATACCCTCCTTTGTGCAAAATTAAAACTAATGTATTACTTTGAAATACTTCAGTACAGACTAGGCTCCATCCAACATTTTCACAGTTCCAGATAACCTGAGAATTGACTTCATCCACATCTTAGTAATATACAGTCACTCACGTACAAAAGCAAGAACTTCCGTTGAAAATTCCTTTGTTTCCCCCCTGAGAATGCAGCTGCCAGACATGGATATGTGGTAAAATAAGAGTAACAAAAGTCTACCAACATGTATGAAAGGAGAGAACAATTACAGACATTTCAAATAACTACTCTGTCATACTATTTTGTTTAATGCACCCCAATGTCAAAAAAATTAAATTAGGTGTAGATTTAAAAACTAAGACATCATTTTTGGAAAGTATGTTATGGAAAAGAAGACCTGTTTTACAATAATCCCTCCAGACAAGGGGTGCAGAAATGCTTTACCTTTGCCTTTCACTGAGTCTCAAAACTATGTAATAAAAACAAGATTAGATTAACAAAAGGTGTTGTAATGCAATACATCTTAACTCTTTGATTATTTTAAAAGTACTTGAATCGATTATTGCCTTCAAATGTCAGATTTGTACAGCATGGTTATACAGATGTATAAAAGTTTAAACCACTCCATCAGATGTTTCTAAAAACCTTTAGAGTTTAGTGATGTTCTAGGAATATTAGCCAAGAAGAACAAAAGCAAAAAAAAAAGTGACAAAATACCCTTTGAACAGGTGGCAAAATCGTGCTTCTCCCAGAGTTGCCTAGGCAACATCCTAGAGGTTTCCCTCCAATCCAAACATTCTACAGTTTCATTATGTGCAGTCACCCACATTATCACATGTACATTTGAGGAAATAGATTTGTGGATTAAAAGTCATGTAAATCATGTCAAATCACATTAAAAAAAACTAAAATAATGTTAGACATGATACTAGGAGTGAAGCTTTTTAAAAAACAGCTTTGTTCTTCCCAAGCTAAAGAATCTGATGCTGAAAAAAGAAGAAAGAAAACAACCTTCGGCAGTGGAGCCTTCTTCAGGTGTGAGCAACTTGCTCACACCTGAAGAAGGCTCCACGGCCGAAACATGTTTTCTTTCTTCTTTTTTTCCCAGCATGGAATAAACCTATTACTTTTTTCTTTGCAGCCTACGCAGCTACTTACCTGAACTACTAAAGAATCTGATTGCGTTTACATAAGGCATTTGGATTCGCAGTTTCAAACTTGTGATACTTTATAGGAATTTACAATGTTTAGGGAGAATATTAAATTTGTAAATTCTAAACAAGTTCATAGTGTAAACCAAGAATCCCCAGTCATAGTCCCAGAGGGCCAACGGGTCTGTGAGCTTGCCTCTTTAAGGCAACAGTACCCAAAGAAGCTGTCCAATGAAGCCAAAAATAAGCTGAATGAGGTGGTCAAAACCTGTAGATACTAATTTTCAGGACCAGGACTGGGGACCTGGTGTTATAGTCCCCTCCCCATTAGAAATTCTATCCTGCTGCTATCAAACTGCATTGCCAGTTCATGTTTAGTCATTCCACTGTAGGAACAATATGGTCATACACATTAACCCCAGACCACACAGAACATACACGTCATTTCAAGCTATAAGCTTGCTTGTAGCACAATCTTGCCATACTGGACCTTGTATTTTCAACACGAGCCATCATACTTAGACATTTTTAACCATTCTAAATTATAAAGGGAAAGAAAAATTAAAACGGTCCTTATTAATAAAGACTTTTACTAACGTGTTCAGCTTTTTATCAATATTCGATCTAGGTTTGAGGGATACAATCAACCTAATTTAAAAATACATAAAAGACAAATAAATTAAACCTGTACATTCACCTTTCGGCCTCCTTGCAAAACAAATCCTAGATTTAACGGATACCAAGGATCTGCCTGCTTTTTAAATGGTAATTTCTCTCCATTTCACAGAGGGCTTCAGCACGGAGATTAGCTGCCTGCAACCGTTTTTTCAGTTCCTGGTTTTTGGTTTTTATGGGTTTCTCTGGATTCTGGTTTTCTTTGTCGCCAGCAAAATGAACCTTCTTTCGCCCAGGGGAAAAGTTCTCTTCACAGCTACCTGCAATAATAAAAATAAAAAGTTACTATTCTGTCAATACTCTGGTATAGTATTGTATTGAAGTGGAGTGGCTGAAAGTTTTGTTGCGTGTTATACACTATCACATACAATATCAGTTATACACTATTTTGCTGGCTTCATCTATATGTCGCAAGTCAAATACAGCATCTTAATATTAAAAAAAGGTTGAAAACATAGTATTCAGCCTTTACTCATTTGTCAGCCATAATTTTATGAAGTATCATACATTCATACAAGCATATTCTTATTAGCCTTCTGTTGGAAAGTGAATCTTTAACAATGATTAATATAGATTTTCAATGAGATTTTATAAATTCAAAACAGACAATTGTTATTCTTCACCCAATTTTTTTTGATAGAGCCAATTAAGTTTTATTCTTTTTTTTAAAAAGGAACCCTGTCACTACACAGACCTGCCCATTTTCAAGCTATTCATATCGAATATGATCACAGACAACAGAACAGGAGGTTCAGACCTGCCAACAAAACTTATCAGTAACACATGAAAGGACCCGGCCTCAAACACATGCTCACAGAGCTTAGCCTGAATTTGGAGAAACATTTTCTGGTTCAATGCAAGTATTTTTTTAAAATCACTCAATATTTTCAGTTTATTACTATTGCTCTATGTACCATGTAAAGGTTACTTTTTTTTTTGCAATTTAAACAAGAACCTCATTCCCAAGAAAAAAGTTCCCATAAGAGACATGCAAGAGATTGCAGACAGTGGCGATCTTTCTTTCAGTATTCGGTGTCTGATTTTAACCCATCTGCAAAGCAGTTCCACAACAATACTATACAAACAGCTGCTACAAGCTCACAGTGCAGGACTCTCTTCATAATTGATTTCAGTGAAGCCTATTTCACACACAGCAGTAACAGAAGGATATTTGGTTCCAAGACCAGGAGCTTTTTTTTTTAAACTCCAGATTGACAGATGAATCTTCTTGTTAAAAAAAAAGGAAATTAGAGAGGAGCCAAAGTGCTCTGCTTCAGTTCAGACAATAATAGCAGATTCTTTTTTTAGGACACATCTTCTCAGATGTTTAGAGATATTATAGGTATTGGAGTGTGTACTTCACATTTTGGCTTTATAGAATGTTGCCACAGGAATTTAAGTTCTTGACATGTGCAGAAAATAAGGACCTCCAAATAAGCTTGCCTATTTCTCAACTTTAAAAAGGCAAAACCTTGAAATAAAATTCAGAAAAAGACATTCATAATGGTGCAATTCACTTGCAATCAAAGTTTGCAAACCATTGTATACAGTACCAGCTATCTTGCCAGCCTTTTTACTTTGCCTTTGTGAAAAGAACACATCACAGCACCAGTGCAAATCCTTTCTTTCCAGAACAACTGTTAGTTTACTAGTAACAAGTTACCATAAGTTGCATTATACCTATCACAGCTCACATTTTGTAAAATTGGTAGAACCTTCTACTTCCTTCATGCAAAGAATTATACTGCATGAGACAAGAATCCAGTAATAAGATCTATAGGGTTAATTTAATCTTTCATTGCACTTGGGAGCTGCTACACTTTGCTGCGTGATTAAGCAAAAAAAAAAAGCAAACTTTGATATAGCTCAATACTAGCTCTGCTATTTTTAGCTTATGGAATGCTTGGAATGTTTGCTTGCTGAACAATTGATAGAGACTTACGTTTTTAACAAACGGTATGCTTTTAGATCATAAATGTCTATCTATCCACCAGCAACACAGTTCAGAAAGTCACACTCCCAATGATAAAACAGTCACTAAAATGTAAAAACAAAATGTCTATTCTTTATTTACAGTATAATTTAAAATGGGCATATTGCTCTAACACACTTACAATACAAGTTCAAGCAGTAAAATTAAAGGGGTGTGTACATTAATATTTCTCTATATGTAAGGGATCCAAACACAATCTTTTGCCCCTCATACCTAGCACATTGGAAAAGGGTGTCTTTGGCTGCTTTACTGGGTTGTAGTTCTTCATCAAGTTCTCAGCCCTGTTAAGAAAACAAACAGGAAAAATGAGATATGTATAACCATTTGTGCATGAGATCTTCCAGTTAAGGAAAATCAGTCGGACCTCTTCCTTACAGACACTAGCAGTATTTCACTGCAACAAGGCCCAAGCCAAATTCAAATTTAAATTCAATAATCCTAAATTGTAAATTACAGCCATAATGTGCTGGCTTTATCTTAATTCACCTTTTAAGGGATCATGACAAAATTAACCGTAACATCACAAGACAGGTCTGTGAGTTTTTGATATGTGGATCAAAACTAATTTGAACTAGGCCTAAATGCTAGGTTAAACTAGGTTAAAACATAAATCTGATCTTCTTCCAATTGATATTTTGCTGCAGCACCATAAAAAGTTGAATTGGCTTCTAGCGAAATGTTAATATAAACCTGTATAAGCTAAAGACCTACATTCTGGAATATAAGAGTGACATTCACGCCAACAAAAATTAAGCAAGACGGCTACACAAATCAAACAGCAATAGGCCAAGAGGACAATCGGTCACCAGGCTACTGCAGTTATGCCATAGGTTCACAGTCACCTGACTACGAACTCTTCTACTGCTTGTCATCCTTGATATAAAGAGCATAGGGCTGTACTTGGTTACAATCATCTACAAATTCAAAGAAAGCATACTGCTCAAAAATAAAAAGCAGCAAAATGTTGACCTACCTTGCCAGTTTTTCATCCGCAAGCCTCTCCCGAATACACAGCTCTCGTTCCCTTTCTGAAAATTAAAAACATTGGGATGTTTTACAGACTTTGTTGAAAACATTCATTTTAATGCCAACATGGATATCTTACAAGAACAAAAGCATTATTGCACTCCTAAGATAAACTCTAGTCTAATGAGAAGGGATGCTTGAGAAAAGCAGATCAAGGCCTCTTTCCAGGAAATATATGCAGCGTGAATTACATGTTCCCAAGCCTGAAACACGACTGCCCCGGCAACAGGTGCAAGGAACGAGACAGAAGCAAGACCGACATGGCCTTACGCTCCAGCATCTCCTCCCGCGTCTTCAAGGCCCGCTCTCGCTCGTGCAGCTGCTGCTCTTTCAGCCTCAGCTCGGCCACCGAGGGGTCTGTGGGCTGCGGACTCTCGGGCTCCGCAGACCTCCTCCGGTTCTTCTCGCTGTTCTTCCTCAGCTCCTCTGCCACGAGGTCCTCAATCACAGGGTTCTGAAGGATCGACTCGACCGACGGCCGGAGATAATCCTAAATACACCAACAAGGCGAGCAAAGCCGACGGTCCGTCACCCAAAAGAAAAAAAGTTAGAGCATATAATAGAATAAAATAAAACTTTTATGCCATCTGTCAAATCTCAATTTAACCCCTGGATTCTTGTGTAGGGAAAAACACTAAAGACATGAAGGCAACAAACCTTCAATCTCACGTTCACGTTACAAGAAAAACACTTTACTTTAAAAGCTGACCTTCCTGGATTTACACTTTAGCTAACTACTGCTCTGTTGCAACACCCCTAAAGTTAAAGCACAAGGCATTGCATGCAGATTACGGCCTGTATGTTTTTTTTAGGACTTCAAAGTACTGACCTTTAAATTCAGCATTCTGGACAGAAGTGTATTCAGCTCCTCTGAATACCGATAAGGAATCCGTCTGAACTTTCCCTCGCGGATTTTCTCTGCCAGTTCTTTTTGATTATAAGCCGTGAATGGAGGCCTAGAGAAAAAAAAATATATATGTTGACAGTGCTACATACCAGACATGGGGTCAATTATGGTGAAAGTTTTAAATTAGTTTAACTCTAGCACACCTTAGCAACTTAAATTAGTGAAATTTACATAACTCCATTACAACTCAATCATGCTTCGCATACTCTTTGAAGAGCCTAAATCTTTAAAAGAGGCTATTTGTAACCTAATAATTTATTGTACGCAAATCTAACCACATATAGCAAAATAGAACCAAGTAACTTGAAGCAGCAATATTTACAAGTGTTACTGGAGCTTGGAACTTGCACTTAGTAATGAGTGCAGGATCCTTGGTATCTTTAAACTATCACAGAGCCAAGGTTACAAGAAGGATGAACACACATCTTGATGTCATTAAATCATCTTTTAAATTTGTTTTTACTTCTTATTGCTCTTGTTTATGCTATAAAGAGTTAAAAAAAAAACTGAATTAGTAGGCTATTCTTTTTACTAGTTATTGCCCAGCAATATGAAATTATTTTGTGTCATTTTCCATTGAAGCTCCTCTGCAAACAGCACAAACCGACTCCCAATCCATTAGTCTGCGCATTAAAAGCAGCATCCGCACTGCTTTTTTTGTCAGAGATATAACACATCGTTCCAGGAGTGTTTCTCCCTACATTTTCCACTGCTTGGTTTACATTTGCAGTAGATAAACTGCAAATGGTGACCTAAAGCTAAGGAACACCATAACAGACAAACCTTCTAGAGGTTTGAGAAATGTGTTAGCTGGGGAATCCTGCCCCAGCAACAATTTGGTCAAGAACTGGGTGTAAAACAGAAAGGCAATCTTATGTGGCTTTTAGTTTGTTCTTCATTAAACTAAACAGAGTAGATCACATGTTTCTAGATACTTACGATAACGCACAGAGTTCATACAGTAAGCAGCCCAGAGACCAGATATCTGATTTCTCGTTGTAGGACATTCTATTAACTTGCTCCTGGAAATGACAAATGAGAATTAAGAGGAATGTACATAAAAGATGAAAAATCAAAATAAATATACAAATGAAATAGAATTGGGGGGGAGTGGGTTTTGGCATGACCAGTACTACCTACTACACTATAAAAATCTCTCATTTGTGAACTTACTGGTATAGTGAAGTGACTGGTACTTAAGTATTTTGATGATTATAGTAAGCATTTCATAACCATTAACCACTTCCTTACTTTTTGGCCACAAAACAAGCAAGTACAAGTGGAATTTTTATTTTTTCTAAAAGGTTTAACCAGTCTGTCATTTTTCTTACTGTAAAACGACAAATATCCCTGTAAAAGCAAGTCAGGTCTTTGCTAGACCCCAATTTAAAAACACTTTCATTGCACTATTCAAGAATATTATCATTAGTAACCATCATTATGTTTAATACAGTTGTATTATTACATGTCACATACTGTACATCTCTTGTTCAGATTAATACAGTTGGATGTCTCCTTCGACAGCTGGTGTAAAGGAATCAGAAGTTATAAAACGTGGACAGAATGCAGGAATGAAAAATGCAAACTCAAAAGATTCTGGTATAAAGTAGTGATAAGAATCACCAACACATTCTGCTTTAGGGATTGATGAGTAAAAACTCATCAGCTGTGCTGTTAAATGAAAAGCTTCTCATCTGATTTTCTAATGTGCAATATTGTGTTTTTAAGCACAATCAGCTTAAAGCCAAGTTTAAAGGGCCGGCATATGACAAAACATTGGAAACTCGGCAGTACCCCATTGCCAGCGTTGCAGGTGTCCACTTATGAGCATCTTATGAAATAAAATTTCAAAATTCATATGGATACCTTAAAAATAGACATTAAAACAATAAAGCATATCATAATTTATAAGTAATACATATAGTGTGATCTGCCGTTATTAAAGAAAACACAGAAATAAACGATCTTAGTTTTAAGAAAAATATGCTGTATTCTGATATTTCTTTTTAGCCATGAACATCACCAGGAAAAGCTGACAAACCCATGCACCGATTTAAAAAAAAAAAATTATTTCAGAGTGGATCCATCTAATATTTAATTCTTACATCCCTGATAATTAACCAGCGGGCCGATTAGAAGAGAAGATTTTAACTTACTGGAGACATGTAATAGGGAGTTCCCACGAAGGTTTTGGCAAAGCTGGTATCATGATTTAATATTCTGGCCAAACCAAAATCTCCCAGCTTGACATTCTGCTTAGCATCAAGGAAGATGTTGGCTGGCTTGAGGTCCCGGTGTAGCACCGTGTGGCCCCCATCACTTCTTCTGTGGCACTCTTTCAGCGCCAGAGCCAGCTGGGTGAGCACCCGCAAGATGAACTCCTCATCCAGGTATCGCCTGCGAGGGAAGGAACATGGAGCACTCAGTTTTATTCGATGGAAAACCCTCTCATGCAATGCTGGTCTTCAAAGTATAAGGGCTACCTATAGCTGGCTAAGAGTGGAAAAGATCTAGCCAGCAGCCATATACACCACAGCTTTTATGAAAACAGATCCATTATTACACCCATGTCCAGCAATAGAAGAAAAGCATCATAAAGGACATTTAGGTCGGGTCTTCAAACAGCTTTCAGAGCCAGCACCACCAGCTTCAAAGTGATGGCAAATCTGTTTTACCTACTTAATAATGATTAGAAAACGGTTACATCCAAAATGCTTTATTAATGAATTGTGTAGAATATTTTATAGAGTACTAATAAACTCATGCACAACGGTAATACTCAGGATTCAAATTAGATAGCTCAAAGAACAGAACAAGAGCAGTCTGAATTACAGCCACACATCTATTCAAAACCAGAACAAAAGCCAGGAAAGCATGAACAGACTGGGAAAAACACCTGGCAGATTCAAGGCACATGGCAAAGCGGCTCCTGAACCAGTCCAGAGAAGAGCAATTTGATGCAGTCCCGGTTTAAGGGTATATCCTTCATTGACAGGCTAAACGAGGTGAACCTTTTCTGGTCTTGAACAAAGATGACTAATCAGGGGGGTCAAGAATTCAAAATCCTCAAAGACACTGAGAAAATCAACACAGCAGAGTCCTTCAGAAACACAAACCAGAGGACAAGTGGAAACTTGTTGTTGAAACTATTTAAAGCCAAGAACAAAAGGGTGTGGGAGTGTGCAACAAGCTCCACAGCCACATTGTTGAAGTCGATTCCCTGGTTTCTTTCAAGAAGCGGCCGGATCAATTACCGACCAGCTCCTAAACGGGCTAAGTGGTCAAAAAGACAAAAGTAAGATAGGGGGGTCAAGTGAACAAGAGATCACAACTGGAAACATCCTGCATTTCATTCCAAGAACAAAAGCTACTCTACATAGAAGGCTGTGGGAGTATGGAACAGGCTATCCCACCAAGTTGTTAAAATACACTCTAGCTTCAGTCATGAAATAACTGGATGAGATCCTCAGAGCAATCAATAACTAGCTACCAAGTGGGCTTGATGGGCCAAATGGCCTACTCCATCTTAGGAACAAATGGCATTAAAGGTGTGGAGAAATCAAATGCTTGTTTATCTACACTACCATGCCATGAATATAAAAGCAAACTAACCTGAAAGAAAATAAGTGAGATGTTTAGAGGCTAGTTTGGCAAAGTCTCAGGCATATGTTTTATTCAGTAATGGTGTAGCTCCAGAGACCTCTTAGTTGTTTAAGCCTGGACCAATTAAAGGGGCCGTACAGTAATTATGCAGTTCCCTACCCCAAGGAAATAATGGGAAGGCTATGTATGATGTATGACCAGGGCATTAGACCCGTTTGGCATTGTTAGCGTTTGCTTTTTGTTTGCATGACTTATTTCTCCCTTGCATTGTGATCCAGCCATGAGTGAATATAACCGTCACTGACGTTTGCCTTCTTCCTAGCATTGCTGGACTCTGCAAAAAAAAAAAAATCTTAATATCTTAACTTGTGGCTAAAGAGACGGACTGCTTTTAATTTCATTTACTTCCGAATACTCCCCAGTAATTCGAGTCTAGAAGTCGGAGTATTACTTAAACACCGGTAACTGGCAGGCACCCAAGAAAAGAGAATCAAGGGAGGTACACTCATACAGTGTACGTACGCACCTTTCTTTAATACACCTGGTGATGAGACTGGACAGATCCCCCCCCTCACAGTACTCCATGACGATATACAGCGTGGTGTTGCTCCTGTCGATGATGCGGTCGTAGTACCGAACGATATTGGGGTGCTTGAGCTCACGGAGGAGATTCACCTCGGACACCAGCATCTGCTTTTCGGCTTCAGTCATGGTGCCATAGTCCAGCTCCTTCCACACAAGTACCTGGGAGCGCAGCAGATAAAAGTACTACAAATACTGACGATACATGTTTTAACTGCACGGTAACGTCATCTTAAAATGAAAGCACTTCTCTATGCACAATGCTTGCATCACACACAACATCATAAAAGCGTGACGAGGAACAAAAATGCATATTGTTAATGTATTTTAAAAAGAAAGACGTTCCAAGATAACGTTCGTATTTTGCATTATCCTTCATTTCAAAAGAACGAGTATGAAGTCGGTCATGTAATGCAACCAAACAACACAGTGAAGTAATGTATACCTTTCCATCTGTCTTTCGTCTTATTTTCTGACATTTTCCATAAGATCCAGATCCAATTGTGTATAAAACTTCATAATCTTCTACGCGAGACGGCATCTTTAAACGAACTTAAAACAGAAAGTAAATGTTAAATCCAGATTTTTGCAAGGACAATCTCTTCAAACAGCGGAAATCCCCCTTTCAAAGAAATACTGATAGGTGACTGCCAAATATTTGTTTTAGCAGCCTTCTTTGACAACTTTCTTTAAAAAAAAAAAAAGAACATTCACATTTATCCTTTCGTTATTGACAAACAAAATAACGCGATCACCTAGGAGAGTAGGAAGTTCAAGCTTTAAAATTGGCGTGGTTTCGTTTCTCAGATGTGATTGGCTTTCCGCACGGAGGAGCGAAAATCTTATTGGTCAGAAAATCAATACAAACCCACACTGCACCAGGCGTTGCTATGCAACAGAAGCCCGCGAGAGAACAGCGGGTATTTAAAGGGATCTTTAAAGTAAAAGATTTTAGTTTATGCCGAACATAATACAGTACTTCAACATTTCTGGTCTTTGTATTAACTATTGTTTATGTTACGCTTCTCTGCCTTTTGGCTAAAATTAAGTGTAGCGTTTCTTTATTCTGGAAAAGGTCAATGAAAAGATAAGCTAGGATTAATCGGTTCACAAATTTAAAAGAACTTCAGGAGACTATTGTCCTAGTTGTAGTTTGAGCTGCTCATTATGCAACTATCTTGAAATAATACTGAGTATATTAGCATTACGTCTGTGATTGAAATATTTTAGAATCCTGAAATTATTTATAGTCATTTTAAATTAATGGTTTGTATTTTGGTACGTGAAGTTATATGATTTGTTATTTGTTTATGCAGCGCTAGTAAACTGAATTATTATTCATTATAATATTACACATGTTGCGAGTGAAAAGCATTAGTGCAATCATGCTTATATGGTAGTGTGCAAACAAAGTTAATCAAAAATTTAAAAGGCTTCAACTATCTGGGTGGAAGCCTGTTCCAGACACTCGCAACTCTTTGTGTAAATGTGCTTTACTGTCTATCCGAAGTTCACTTTTACTTTCCAAATTGCAAACTTGTGTATTTGTGTCATTGATGAGTGAGAAATAGTTCCCCAGGCTGCCTCTTTTTAACAAAAAATAATAAATATAAAAAAACAGTTTTATTCCATGCTGAAAATCTATTTATACTACTTGAGGATTTAAAATACTCTTCTAAAATCTTCTTTTAATCCCTTTTATTCTATAGCGATGAGAACATTTGTTCTGTAGCTTTTTTGTGATCTCCTTCAACCTGTCTGTATACGACAGACATTTCAGGCCAAGAATCAATCTTATTGTCGTGATGTCCTTATTGTGATATGGTTGCCAAAACTGGAAACAATGTTCTAAACAAGATCTTACTAGTGTGCTGTAAAATCTGAAGCACGACTTTCCATGATTTAAACGTGCCATATTCCTAAGCATTCTGTTTCCTTTTTTATTGCTTCCCCGCATTGTCAAGATGAAGACATGAAGGATATTAAACCCAGACCTCTTTCTTGCATAGGTGCCTGTAGCTTAGAATCACCCATGTGATATATACTGTAGAATATGTTCCTTACTTCCTGTATAGATCACTTTACAAATATCAACATTAATCAAATGGTTGTGTGCAAGTTTCTTTTTAATTCCCTTGGTTCTGTTTCTGTGTCTGCTATTCCCCACTATTTTGTATAATTTTAAAATTTCACTTAGAAATGATTTAGGTGATGACATCACAATGTCAATCATTGATACAGTTCTGGCTAAGCAGTCTAGCACAGCAGGCCACAGCTTTCAGAAGTTATGTTCTTTGCAATGATGTCCTCTTTCCTGTTTGTTAACCCATTCTCAATCTGAGTATACAATACCTTTAATCCCTACAGCATCTTCATTTGTGAATTAACCTTTTAAAGCTGTTTTGAATACAAATATTTATGAATGTTATTTAAATATGTGGGTGTCTATGAACAGATTAGTAAATGTTTTATTTTTTTAAATTGTGAAGTATATTAATGGCAATATTCATCAATTTCCAACATCACCTTTTCACTGGCATGTTAGTACAGGTATTTGCACATAACCCCTCACCATAAATCTTTTTTTCATGATGGAAATAGATGTTTTATTGTAATACTGTATTTGTATTAATAGAATAATTTCCTCAACAATTATTTTGACACCTACTGTAACAAAGTCATATTGCATTCCCTAGCTGTGGTGGATAATTATAATCTAGTGTATTAATAGACTCATATTAGAGATTGTTTTGCATAATCTGTTTGGGAGTAATTTGCATGAACAATGGACTGGGATTCTAAGATAGTTCTGAACTGAAAAATAAATAATTTCCCTCTCTTAATTTTATCTCGAGAATGCACATCATCATTGTTTACTCTGAAGTAAGCATCTTAGATATACTAAGAAGAAAATAAAGAACATACTTACCAAACACACTACATAGAGGCTAGATGAGCCAAACCAAACCTTTTATGTTCTAAAATGGAGACACTTTTGTATTATCAACATTTCAGCAAAAAATGTGTTTTCATTTTTAATTTCAAGTCAATAAAAAAATGTTTTTTTTTGCTTTCTTTGCTTTGCTGTGATTTTCTTGCATATCATTCCTTATAAATTAATGACCAGGGCTTCATCAAAATTGGTCCAATGAAAATACATTGCTGTTGTTAACTGTAGCCACTTTTAATCAGTTTCAGGAAACAAATGGTAAAAATCACTGTTAATGCAAGACAGCTAGGAGGGGCGTCTTATACACCAAACAGGCTGATTGGTTCATCCTTCAGAGGTGAGTCCTCTTATTCACATACAGTAGTTATAGGTGTGTCTAACAACACTCAAAATGAATGTGATGGTGCCTCATTTTCCCTTCTAGGCATAGGCTACATGTCTGCAGATCTGCACATGAAAGCCCTGAATACCCATATGAATGAAAGAAACCCCCCAAACAAGAGGCTGCCTTCATACCTGTGTTAAAAAAGATGTGTGTAGTGCAGCACAATCTCAAATATCTTTGCAGACTGTAGATAAAAGTTTTCTTTTTTTTATATGCCACACCTCTGCCTCTCCCAATCTTTGAAAACTCAGTTTTGATTGTAAAACCAGGAAAACGCATTGCTAACATTGTTATCACAACTTTAGCTGGGGCATTAACAGTAATAGTAAATAACATAAAGGATCAACTGGGAATTGTGAATGTGAATTGTGTAGGATTGACAATTACAGTAAGGGAGTTCATTTTGAAGCCCAGACTCCTTTTTACTTTTTTTTTAACATGGGGTGTAAGGTGCACTAAAACGGGACAGACTTAACCTTGCAGTCTCCCAGCTCAGTCAGATCTTTTCGAGTTAAACACCTTTTCTTTGCAAATAATCAAAGCAACTGTGGGTGACGTGAAGAAGGCTCCAGAGCAAAAATGTTGTGTTTCTTTTCTTCTCTTTTCAGCCTGGAATAAACCTTTACTTGTTCCTTTGCAGCCTACGCATGCTGATGCAGTTATCTACTTGAACTATGGTTTTTGCCCACGGCTGCTTAAACAGGAATTCAAAAAGTGGAAAGTGAGTGAGATGATCTCAGAGTTCCACTGTAAATGTATATATCCATCCACTCACAATGAGCTCTTCATCGAATACAGAAGTCATTCCCAAACCTGAGCCTTGAGAAAGTGCTGTTTGTTATTCTAGCAGAGTTCTTAATTACAAGCTGATGGTTTTCAGCTGGATTTTCGGGCAGTATTTTTAAAACTTCTCTCAGATCCTTAAAAGGTGATTGGGACTTTTAATTATCACCCTTATACCAGTTTCTGTGATTCAGGGGTTTTTGGAACTTAAAGAAGCAAGCAGATCAATTAATGTTGTCAGTTAGTACTGGCAATTTAAGAGGTTGCCTCGACTAAAGTCAGCAAAGGTAATGGTCCCACATGGCCACCGCAAAACAGAGCTGTGTGGATCTCGAGCCAAACCCAGCAGCACAAGGCATAAAACACCACAGGCCACAGATAGTCTATGGCATGACGCACAGACTGGTCAGTCTAGACATGCCAATTAGCCTTGACAGGTTGATGTCTAGGTTAATTCTTTGGATAGTGAGAGAAAATAAGAGCCTTTGGTCAAAAAATAAATGTAGTCAGGAATAAACCATACAAACACTACACAGAAGCCACCCAGGCCAGACTCAAACCTGAGATCCAACCATGTCTATATAGTACTGCTATAGCACCATGCTGCTAAAAAATGATTTGTACTGTTTAGTGGGTATTAAATCTCATTATACGTTCATTGGTGTAAGTTGTTTCTAAAACATATGCTTGAAAAAAAAACTTTCTGTCTTCATTGTTTAGTAATTCACTCACATGCTTCAAGACACGAAATCTGTGTTGTACTTGGACACCTCTGAAGCAGAAGTTCCAATTTTTTATGAAACCAAGAAATACCAAAAAATAATGACAAAAGGCCACACAGTTGTTTATTTGCTGTCACACAATACAATATTATGTCAACTTGACCCCTTTTATTTGACTTCATTTTCATGATTTTTCTTTCTTTCTGTAACCACAAGGTGGCAGAACAAACATATTATGAAAATTGACTATACAGCAATGCTGGAGATCTCCATTCTTCGAGACTTGAAATCTTGCACTATTTTTTAATTTTTTTTAATGTTTGGTAAATATTTCTCTATGTGACAGTTGGCTTGCTGACTTGACATCAAATGAAGATTCCCTATGGATCTGCTCAGCTAATGGTGTCTATGACGTTGCCTCACGGTTAATGGATGGCTTGAAATCAGCTACATAGAAAAACACCTTTAGCAATATAGGTGATAAGGCTATTTCACACTTTAATTGATTGTACTTAACTCATGCCCATGTAATCCTTAGTTTTAATTACCTCTTTTAAAAGGAAACGTACAAATATAAAAAAATTATAGTGAATTAAATGACAAAAATTGGAAGTCCTACAAAATGATACGTAAAATATTTATATTGTGTAACTACAAATGACTGCCAAATTAGGAGAAAAATACCCCCTATTGTTAATACCATTGTTTCATTATTAACCCACTCATCACTTGTCAACAATGATCACGTAGTCAGACAAGCAATGCAGAGGTTTCAAAAGATGCTTTAGTTTGTGGACACAATGCGATAAATGGGGTTCTACACACATTGGAAAGTATTCAGGCCTCTGAAGAACTCAATTATCTGAACATGTCCTGTTTGCAACATTAGTGCTTATTGCTTTTTAACAATTTATGCTCATTGTTCTCACTTGTTGTGCGATCCACTCCAAGAAGATGATGCA